AAGAGATGTGGGTTTGACTCCTGGGTTGAAAAGATCTCCTGGAGGAGGAAATGGCAACCCACTCCAGTATTCTTGCCTGGAGAATCCCCATGGACAGAGGATCCTAATCATGGGGTCACAAAGGAGTTGGACATGACTGAGCAACTCAGTAAAACAACAAAGCTACAGGTGTCTCCCCTGTAAAAATTAGTGTGAGAATAGCCAGCCAACATTGCCTATTATTATTATTTTTAAATAACAAGTTTATTAACCTATAATTCACAGACCATAAATCGCACCCTTTCAAAGTGTTTTTTAGTGGTGTTTAGTGTTTTGGGGTTTTCAGCAAAATCAGAGTTGTGAATCCATCATCACTAATTCCAGAACATTTTCATCACCAAAAGTAAAACACAGTACCCATTAACAGTCACTCCCTTTAGTCCCTAGACTACTAATGTTCTTTCTTTCTCTATGGATTTGCCCACTCTGAATATCTCCTATAAATGAAATTATAGTTTGTAGCTTTTGTCTCTGATTTTTTTCACTTAGCATGATGATTTTAACGTTCATCTTTGTTTTATCAATACTTCATTCCTTTTTTATTGCTAAATAATACTCAGTTATACATGTCCACACTTTTCTCTCCATTCATCAGTTGAACATTTGGATTATTTCTGCTTTTTGGCTATTATGAAATAACTGCTATGTACCGAGGCTTTCTAGTGTGGAATTGCTGGATCACATGGTCACTTTTTTTTTTTTAATATTTTGAGGGATTTCCAAACTGTTTCCAAAGAGTCTGCACCATTCTGCATTCCCAACAGCAATGTATGAGATTCCAGTTTCTCCATATCATTGAAAATACTTGTTATTGTCTCACTGACTGTAGCCATCCTAGTGGGTGTGTTATCTCATTATGGTTTTGATGTGCATTTTCCTAATGACCAACAGTGTTGAGTATCTTTTCATGTGCTTATTGGACTTTTGTATATCCTCTTTGGAGAACTTCCTGTTCACAACTTTCGCCCATTTAAAAATTTGGATTATTTGTCTAAGAGTTCTTTTATGTTCTGAATACAAGTCCCTTGTTGGACAAAGGATTTGCAAATATTTTCTCCCATTCTGTTGTCTAACTTGATGATATCTTTTCCTCCCCAGCTGTATTGAGACATAATTGGCATTAACATTGTGTAAGTTTAATGTGTACAACTTGTTGGTTTGATACACTTGTATATTGCAAAATGATTAATACCATAGCTGTAACTAACACCTGCATCATGTCGCATAATTATCTTTGTGTGTGTCCGTGTGGTGAGAACATTTACAGCCTATTCTCTTAGCAAAGCTCAAGTGTATCATACAGTCTTGTTAACTGTAATCACTGTGTGTGTATTAGATCCCCAGAAATGATGGTGTCCTTTGAAGTACTGAAGTTTTAAGTTTTGATGAAGTTCATTTAATCTGTTTTTCCTTTGTCACTTGTGTTTTTTTTTTCCATTTATTTTCATTAGTTGGAGGCTAATTACTTTACAATATTGTAGTGGTTTTTGACATACATTGACATGAATCAGCCATGGATTTACATGTATTCCCCATCCTGACCCCCCCACCCACCTCCCTCTTGTCACTTGTGTTTTTGTAGTTATATCGGAGAAACCATTACTTAATCAAAGGTCATGAATATTTCCTTTGTTTTCTTCTAAGTGTTGTGTGATTTTAGGTCTATGATCTGTCTTGAGTTAATTTTGTATATGGTGTAAGACAGAGTTCCAGCTTTATTCTTCAACACGAAATATCCAGGTGTTCCAGCACCATTTGTTGAAAAGGCTTTTCTTTTTTCCATTATTTTTCTTGGCACACTTTTAAAAACTCAGTTGATCATAACTGCAAGGGTTTATTTTTGGGATCTTAGTTGTACCTCATTGGTCTGTCTGTCTGTTCTTAAAAGTATTACACTGTCTTGATTACTATAACTTTGTAATGTGAACCTTTCAACTATGTTCTTCCTCATGATTGTTTTGGCACCTATCACTTGTTTTTTTTTTTTTTTTGGCACCTATCATTTTTAACGGCAATTATCTTTCGTGTACTCTTTGGGAAGACAATTTATAAATGTCCAAAATAGAGACTTAGGAATAAAAAAAGAGAACTTGAATTGTCTGTGAGTCAGTGATTGTCTGTGAATGCTTAATTTATTCAGTCACTCAGTCCTGTCCGACTCTTTGTGATCCCCGTTGACTACAGCACTCCACGGTTCCCTGTCCTTCACCATCTCCTGGAGCTTGCTCAAACTCATGTCCATCGAGTCAGTGATGCCATCCAACCATCTTGTCTTCTGTCGTCCTCTTCTTCTGCCTTCAATCTTCCCCAGCATCAGGGTCTTTTCTAATGAGTTAGCTCTTCGCATCAGGTGGCCAAAGTATTGGAGTTTCAGCTTCAGCATCAGTCCTTGTAATGAATATTCAGGATTGATTTCCTTTAGGATTGACTGGTTTGATCTCCTTGAAGTCCAGTTCAGTTCAGTCACTCAGTTGTGCCCAGCTCTTTGTGACCCCATGGACTGCAGCACGCCAGGCTTCCCTATCCATCACCAACTCCCAGAGCTTGTTCAGACTCATGTCCATTGAGTTGGTGATGCCATCAAGAGTCTTCTCTTAGCACCACAGCTCAAAAGCATCAGTTCTTCAGCATTTAGCTTTCTTTATGGTCCAACTCTCACATTCATACATGGCTGCTGGAAAAACCATAGCTTTTGACTATACGAACCTTTGTGGCCTAAGTAATGTCTCTGCTTTTTAATACACTGTCCAGATTTGTCATAGCTTTTTTTCCAAGGAGGAAGCGTCTTTTAATTTTGTGGCTGCAGTCACCATCTGCAGTGATTTTGGAGCCCAAAAACATAAAGTCTGTCACTGTTTCCCCCTCTGTTTGCCATGAAGTGATGAGATTGGATGCCATGATGTTTGTTTTTTGGATGTTGAGTTTTAAGCCAGCTTTTTCATCCTCCTCTTTCACCTTCATCAAAAGGCTCTTTGGTTCTGCTTCTCTTTCTGCCATAAGGGTGGTGTCATCTGCATATCTGAGGCTACTGATATTTCTCCCAGCAGTCTTGATTCCAGCTTGTGCTTCATCCAGCCCTGCATTTAACATGATGTACTCTGCATATAAGTTAAATTAGCAGAGTGACAATATACAGTCTTGACATACTCCTTTCCCAGTTTTGAACCAGTTTGTTGTTCTATGTCTGGTTCTAACTGTTGCTTCCTGACCTGCATACACATTTCTCCGGAGGCAGGTCAGGTGGTCTGGTATTCCGATCTCTTAGAAGAATTTTTCACAGTTTGTTGTGATCCACACAGTGAGAGCCTTTAGCATACTTAGTGAAGTAGAAGTAGATGTTTTTCTGGAATTTTCTTGCTTTTTCTATGCTCTAACGGATGCCTAATAATTTCTCATTATTGAACCTCATTTATTTATTTATACATTCTTTTGAATGTCCAGCATGTGTTAGATACTGTGCTTGACTGTGGGGAAATCATGATTAACAAGACATGGGGGTCTATGCAGGGAGCTTAAGTTGACACCTTGCTTTCATATTTTTGAAAGGAGTGTGGACTTCTGATGATCCAAGATGTAGATAAAATCAAAGCAGATGTACCGTTAGATGGAAGGTTCACTCTCTTGTCATAAAAGAGGGTCCTATCAATGAAAAATTCTTCTTAACTTACCTTTTGCTAGTAGGAGTGGAAATACAAATGAATTGAAGAAGAGGATGAATATCTTTCAGGTAGCTGTATTGAGCACCTTGAAAAAACTACAGAAACACTATTTTCTTATTTACATCTTTATGTGCATGTGTGTCTCCCATTTTAAAGTTCCCCTGGAGGCAAGGGTCTTGTTTTATTCATCTTTCTTACTCTGTCAGTCATCTAAACAGTTCTTTCAAAATATTAGATACTCAGTGTATGATTGAATGAGTCAAGTAAGCCATTAGTGAGTGCTCATATTGTATGACCTTATACTAAATTAGGGTTTGCATAGCTTCTATTGGTTACCATTCTAGCCCTCAAGGATCTTGATTTAATGGTTAATGTGAAGATCAGACACTCAGTATGACGTGTGTGTGTGCGTGCTAAGTCACTTCAATTGTGTACAACTCTGCGCGATCCCATGGACTATAGTCCACCAGGCTCCTCTGTCCATGGAGTTCTCCAGGCAAGAATACTGGAGTGGGTTGCCATGCCCTCCTCCAGGGGTTCTTCCTGACTGAGGGACCGAACCCATGTTTCTTACGTCTCCTGCATTGGCAGGCAGGTTCTTTACCACTGGCGCCACCTGGGAAGACCTACTCAGTATGATACACCTTTACAAAAAGATGAATTAAATTATAAATAATATGGAAAGTAAATTGTGCAAATAACCTAATAAATTTAACACATATACATATTAGGAGTCACTTGAGTCCATAGGATGTAAGATGTTAGAGGAAGTCTGGAACAGGGGCAAAACTGAAGGAAAGCAGATTGATAGAGGGAAGGGACAAAACCTGTCCAGGTCAAGAGGCAGTTCTCAGTAGGGGTGATGCTGTCCCCTTCCCAACGAGGGTACTTTTGAAAATGTGTGAAGGTTTTTCGTTGTCCAGTGTTCGGGAGTGCTACTGGCTTTTAGAGTTCAGGGGCCAGACATGCTGGAGTCCCATAGTGTGAAGTTAGGAGTTGATCTGCCCCAAATCCCTGGAGTGCCCTGTTGGAGAGGCACTGAGAAGCAAACATTTAGCTGGACGAGGAGGAACACAGTGCTTTATGGATAGTGCTCCTCAGCAAATACTGTTTTTTATTTGTTTTTTATTTTTTTGCTATCCTGCATGCTGAACTCAGAGATGTATATAGGTAGAGTGGAGTAGACTGATGGAACACCTTAGGAACTACAGCAGGAATTTATGTCTGATCATTTTGGATGATTCTGATGATTCTTAACACTGTCTTTTGTCTTACGGTTTTCTTTTCTTTTCTTTGTCTCAGAACGAGCCTCTGACCCCAGGTTATCATGGATTCCCAACACGGGACAGCCAGGTTGGTATAAGTTGTTTATAACTCAGATGTGGTGTGTGTGTGTTTTATCGAAGAATGCTACATGATAGCATTTCCTGGAATTATTTATTTTGGAGAGTGATTTGGTTAGTTTCGGCAATGAATTTAGATTAGCGATATATAAACCATATTTCTTAACCCTAAAGGTATTGTAATCACATTATTGAAATTGTGGATATTATAGGGGGAAAGTCACTCAAGCACAGTTGTAATGCTTTTGTTTTTTCTTCTACAGGCTACATGATAATTTTTTAACTTGATTTTCTTAATGTCTCATAATTTTGTGTTGGACTTGTCTGTTTATTCCCAGCCACTTAGCCCCTGCCTGCACAGATTTTTGGAGTCTCTGCAGTACTCAGCAACAAGAAAATTCCATTCTTGTCCCTGGGGGGATTCAGCCTTATGGTTTTAATCAGGGAAGTTTCTGCTGCCTTTCTTTGTTAGATAGGGAGGATGATTGGAGAAAGCCCGGGTCCCATTTGTGGGTTAGAGCGAAACTATCTCCCGCCAAGACATCCTCAGTATGGTTTAGGCGAGGGTGTGAAATGCCTTCCCTGGCCGTGTGCTTTTCGGATCTGGTGAGGCTGACAGAGTTAGGGTAGAACAGGTTAGGCTGCCTCAGAGAAATGATGTAAGACACCTAGCCTCTGGAATTTACCTCCTGCTGTTTGGAGATATTGATACTCTTCAGGAGATTTAAAAGGGTAGCTCCTAGAAATATCTCTGAATTTCTAGCCATCATGTGTATCTCTGAATGCCTATCCACTATTCCTTATAGGGTTGGCCAAAAAAATCACTATTATTAGACTTGTCCAGTAATGCACATTAAGGGATGTGCATTATCAGAATGCTAGACCAAGGGGTTGACCTAGTTTCCCTTCCTAGAACTTAATTAAATCTCATCAAAACCCCTGAAGCTGAGCTTAAAAACCAGGATGGCGCCATAGTCAACAGTCACTATTTGAGGGCCTTCCAGATTTGGAAGTATTGGCTCAGTTCTTGCATTTCTGGTGTTGAGTTGGCATCAGACTGGTCCAGGTAGGGTATGGCGAAAAGGAGGGGAGAGAAAGTGCTGTTCCTCTCTGTGTTCATCTCTCAGTGGGATCCCTATTGGCACTGAAGGTCGTTCCTATGGGAGCTTTTGGTGAAAGAGATGGTCATTTACCCCAGACCTAAAGATAATGTAGAAGGTCTTCCTTTTTTCTTTCTGGTTTAGATTTGCCCTAGAGCTTCTGTAAACTGTGAAATTCATGTCCTTTGATAGCAGTTCTATATCCTGGCCATATAACAGAAAAAGTACCATTGCCTGGAGATCTAGGCCCCAAAGGTTCTGATTGAGTGAGTCTGAGATTGGGCTTAGCCATTCAGGTATTTAGAAATTCCTCCAGGTGATTTTTGCAGCCAAAATAAAAAACTGCAATCCTCTGGGCTGCTTTGAAATGAGTGACATTTTCAATTTCACCCTGTACTTTCCACCTAGGACCTTGAAAACATAAGGGATCGTGGTCGGTCTCTGAGTCTACTTTTGTGTACTAATGCGAATATTTGCTTATCAAATGTTGTTTATTTTGGATATAGGCTTATTTTAGATATAGGAAGGTAAAACTAATTGAAGTTAAGTATGGGGAACAGACTTAACGAAGTTGAAAAGAATCTGAAAAGATACTGTATAATGTGTCTTCCTGTGGGGATTACAGATCAGTAAGGAATTAAGCAGAAGAAATTAAGAAGAATTTGTTAAAGCACAAAAAGTTGTCTTTGCTTAGAACTACTTTATTTTTCCTTTCTTTTGCAGTGGGACCCACTTCTGTAGCCTGCACATTTATTGCTCATACTGTCTCTGCTGTGGGCCTATGCAGACCTTTTTGCTGTGGTTTAAAGCTGCTTAATTTACTTTGAGGCACATTCTGATGGTGACAGGTTTATTTTAGTTTACTTTCTTGGGTTTTATTTTGTTTTTCTGTCTGGATCTTTGAATTAGAGACCTTAGTGTAGTGCAAACAGGCAAATATCGAATGGCTGCTTGTTGCATTTGATGAATACAGAATCCAGATGAATCCTGCTAATCAATGCGCCTAACCTTGCGCACTCTCACTTCGTGCTCTGAGATTTGGGAGGCATTTATCAGTGTGAAACACTGGTCACCGAGCATCCTGAGCTGGGCAGAAACTGAGCTTGTGGTCTTTACACCTCCCCGGAGTGCTTTGGCTCAGCACATGCAGACTGGAGAGTGGAGTTGAAGGTGAACTTTAATTATCTGAATCTTTATTTGCTTTTCCTTATTTTTTTGCATTTCCTTTCTAAATAAATAGGAACCATCTCCAGACAAAATTCCTCTCAGCTTCTAATGGTGATTTTAAAAGAGATAAAAGTGACAATCTTTTGACTGTTGCAAAGTGGGGCTTTCATCACCACCACCTCTTGAATGGATAAGGCAAGTATTTCCTTTGGAAAGATAAAGAAACAGGCACACAGAGATTAAAGTGACTTAACCAAGGTAACAATCCAAGTTTGTAGCTGAATTAGCACTGAAATTTGTCCTCTGTTTTTGAGTGTCATTTCCTCTATACTGGCCATTATTGACTACCAAAGAAAAATGTGGTCATGTGCAGTATTTCTGCTCACTCACTTTATTTATTTATCATTTGGGGGGCTTCATAGATCCCTTGACACTGAACTATAAATCTTGGAGTCCATGACCCTGGTTAAGAATTACAACAACAAAGTTCCTTAGCACTAAGTGGGCCAGAATTTCACCGTTATGGTGATACTTTTCACCCTGTTACACACACCCCTGGTAACACATTTGAATAAAAAACCTGAGAAGGAGAGGAGGGGAGAAAACCCCACCTGTCCCCTTGTAGAGGTTTTGCTTTTTTATGCAATTTCAGCTCAGCCTTCTTTCCCAATCAGTTAAAGGCTTTCAAGGATGGCACTCCATTGCTTTTACAAAGCACTCTGAGCACATCACAGTGTTTGCTGATGTGGTCTCTCTGTGGAAGTGGAGGAGACAGACATTTCTAGATTAGCAGAAGTGAAAACCTGCTCAGAAAGGCTGAATGTTTTATCTCAGGCCATGCAGAATTTTAGGTTGATGACACAATGTCATGGTTTAGATTCCTAGCTCTGTGATTTATGTATATATGCACATGCTTATGATAGAGTTCCCAAGTGTTGATTAAGGCTGGAATATTTTATGGGTTTGTAATGTTCTCTGAATGAGAGAGTATTTGTGTGCATTAGCACCAGAGTTTTTATTCAGGAGGGATCTGGGAACAGCAGACTGATTAAAAGGGGCCTTAGTTCTGCATAGGAAACTTATTATTTCCACTAATGTTGGTTTTTTTTATTTGGAATGGTTTTCAGGGGCCCCTAGGAACTACAGTGGGAGTCCTAAACCTAGACCTTGCCTGTCACTTCTTGGTGCTACAATGTTATATCTGCTGTAATTAGGGTGACTGCATATAGTTTATCATTCAAGTTGGGGCAATTTTGAGAGAGAAAAGGGATGCTAGTGTTGAATAGTCTGAGGCAGATCTTGATGAATGGGATGTGTGGTTATCCTAGTTATGATTGAAGAAATAAAGTGAGTATCCCCTTAACTGGTCCCTGGAGGAGGACATGGCAGCCCACTCCAGTATTCTCTCCTGGAGAATCCCATGGCCAGAGGAGCCTGGCAGGCTACAGTCTATGGGGTCGCAGAGAATTGGACATGAGTGAGCAGCTAAGCACCCCTTAACTGGGATGATAAGGTTTGGGATTATGGCTTGGTGCATTGCCCACACTCGACCTATGGGCATGAAGTATTGCCATTCACGTTGGAGATGAGAACACAGACTCTTGGTTGGGTTCAGGTGTTGAATCAGCTAAGGAACTGGCATGTTAGTAAATTATTGTGCAGTTTACAAGTGTGTGCTTCCAGGTGTCAGTATATTCAGTTTTGATCTTCACAATAGCTCTGCCAGGAAGGTCGGGCTTTATTATCCCTATTTTGTAGCTAAGAAAACCAAAGTAGAGTTTTTGTTTTTGTTTTTTTTTTTTTTTGAGGAAACCCCTAGCATTGGATTTACTAGGAAAAGACTTTTTTTAAAAATTAATTATTTTAATTGGAGGATAATTTACAATATTGTGATGGTTTTCTCCATACTTCAACATGAATCAGCCACAGGTATGCATGTGTTCCCTTATCCTGAACCCCCCTTTCCCTCCGTACCCACCCTGTCCCTCAAAGCAGAGATTTTTCAATGAATTTCCCCTTGTCACATAGTTAGCGGCACAGTTAGACTTGAGCCCTGGATTTTCAGCCTCGGTGTCTTGTAGTTTCCGCTTGTACTCTTCTGTCAGCGTTCTCTCCTCTTTAAATGGGGATGTTCTCTCCTCTTTAAATGGGGATGTTCTCATCCTCCTGTGGCAAGATAAGATATTACGGAATCTTTGGAGAATGTAACAGCACGAAAAGTCTTCATATGAACTGGAAGTTCCTTGTATGACTGAACTTTTGTCAAGTTTTCTTCCTGTTTTGTTTGTTAAAATAACTTACATACAAATTATCTTTTTTTTACTTTATGAATTTACTTACTTTTGCTTGCTAGCTACACTATGGACTATGATTGTGATTTGCTGTTTAGCTTAGAGGACACTGCTTTCCTAGGAGTGTCAAGAAGAACATGCCCATGAGGAATGAAATAAAACTTGCTGTTATAATTTTTGACTTTTAATATAAAGAAAATTAATGTCACAGTGTTAGAACTCTGATTTTTTAAGTGCTAGTCAGTGGCTCCTTAAAAAGTTTTCTCCTTCAGTTTTCTGAAAATCTGTCGAAGAGCTATTATATGGACATGATAAAGTGATTCTGACAAAACGGGAATTTCAAAAAAGATGAGAGATGTGACTGAGATAATTAGGGATTTAAATTTGGAGTAGCAGCCTTACTTTTAATTTAGAGGGAAGATTATAAATTTACCTAAGAGATTTTTATCCCA